ATCCTACAAAATAAATGTATATTCTACACAGTTTACTTACACTGACACACCACTCTTATCCCGTTCCCGCTCAAATCAGTGTTAATCGCTCACACAGTAACCTTTCTGGTAATCCCTCCCCCCCCCCCCCCTCGTCACCCGGATAAAACACATTCTCTTAACCAACCAAAACATTTTTTCCTCAACTCGCTGCACGTTTCACTGCCTCTTAGTAAATCCCTAACCACCCCCTTCCCTTTCAACGACTTCATTACCACTCCCCACCCGGATTCCAACACTTTCATTTTACCTTTACTCCTGTTGCTGTTTATCCCGTTGAATTGTGTACAATACATCAAAATCAAGTATAACCAAAAATATGCCATGATGTAAATACTCATTATGTAAAGTTTTAAAATCCTTCGGCTTCATTTGATGTTTAAATTATGTAAAATATGTTGGTGTTGATGTACTAGTTTTAAATTGAAAATAAAAGCTTTTTTTTTAATTTAAAAAGGGTACATTTTTTATCAGAACATTGAACATAGTTCATAATCTACAACTGTGAACAAGTAATTTTAATCTTTGAACTCATTTTTCTCAAAATGTTGTTTTTGTGACTTAAGTACTTTTAGCACTAAGGTCTTCAGTTATTCTAAAATACATCACTAGTAGGGCTGTACTTTCTTTTAACGACTCAGACGTAAGATGTATAGAGCCGCAACCAGGTCTACGGGTCAAGTAGCTCAATGCAATATATTGTTCCAACCCATCCAGCCCCTTCAAGGACAGTCTCTTAAGACAGGTCTAAGAAGAGCTGTCATGTGCTCTTCAAGAACAACACTATACCAGTCATGATACCAGTCATTATACCAGTCATTATACTGACATTATACCAGTCATTATACCCGTCATTATACCAGTCATTATACCAGTCATTATACCAGTCATTATACCAGTCATTATACCAGTCATTAAACCAGTCATTATACCAGTCATGATACCAGTCATTATACTGACATTATACCAGTCATTATACCAGTCATTATACCAGTCATTATACCAGTCATTATACCAGTCATTATACCAGTCATTATACCAGTCATTATACCAGTCATTATACCAGTCATTATACCAGTCATTATACCAGTCATTATACCAGTCATTATACCAGTCATTATACCAATCATTATACCAGTCATTATACCAGTCATTAAACCAGTCATTATACCAGTCATTAAACCAGTCATTATACCAGTTATTAATAACAGCAATGGGCTCCTTCCCTAGGGCCCGTATCTCCAGTCGACTCATCAGCAACAAGCCCAAACTATTTCTCAACTATGATAGTAGACGAGACACGGTGATTTTTAGCTCATGTGCATTTGTCGTCAATACACTAGGCAAAACCATCACAAAGACCTCGCGCACTGAAATTCACAATCTACAAGACATCGGTAGATGGAACCTTGAGTTGGGTACTTGCCCCAATTCGCCTACCCCATAACCCCCACCCCCTACACTAATCAACGAGACTCTCATACAATCTCTACAATGTTTCAGCTAGAAAAAACCCACTCATCATCATCCCTAACACTGCAGAATTACAGTTTACACAGACAAGCCAACAACCATCCTACACTACATCACATTGAACTACAAGTATCAGAATGTTGTCAACACACGGACACGAGTGTAAATATTTAGCGTGAACCACAGCTCACCAGACCATTTGGGGGCTGGGGATGGTAGTGATAGAGAGGAAGAGAGGGGACTGCAAGGCGCGCTTGCAGCTTGTTTTCTAACGTCTCCAGGAAGAGAATTATATATATAGATATAGTAATCCGCGGTCACATACATAGAATTGAACTTTATATGTTAGATATAAATGCACTGAGTCTTCATCTCTATACACTAGAATAGGACTATGCAACTATTACCAAACTCAACAATGGGATTGCACCCATTCCTGTTCTCTCTAGGGCGAGAGTCTTGGAGTGGAGCCACCCGCACTATCGTTAGGGGGGGGGGGGAGCTTAATGAAATCTTGGGCCCCACCCTTTACATCTGCAGCCTAGTCAACAACAGTATCTCTAGATCTACATGAAGAAGAATGTCCAGACCTTTATTCATCTGCAACTGCATCATCTACAATAAAAGTACATAACTTCAAGAGGTCAACCAAACTTGTGAGGCCATATAATAAGACATCGCATTAGCAATCATCAAATTCTTCTACTCAACTATGGCAGAACTGACACTTGATACTTCTCCTCACAAGCCTTTGACGTCACCACAATGCATAAAACAAACAAAACACACTGTCCATGTACACTGCATTTCTAACTTCATATCAACGGGACCCTCAGATGGGTACCCCCTACACTTGACAATGCTACACTCATACTACGCCCATTCTGTAACAAAGTGCCATCCATAAACACAATCCTACACACTAATAATCGCAGCTGCTCTGTCTACACTGATAAACCCTCAACTATCCCACACTACATCAAAATAACCTCCAAAAACAAATCACTAACTATCCTAATCGCAAAAGCCGGGAGAAGACAAGCGTGTCAAATCTGTTCCTCCACCCTACACTGGACGAACCATTGCCAACAAACTCTTTCAGACATACCACTGCAGGAAGACCCAACAGCACAACCAACAACGCTAGCAAAAACAGCGTTTTTAATCAACGTCAGCAAGACACGACACAAGAGAACACCAGCACTCAGCTGCAAGATGCAACACCAAATACGCTGACACCGATTGTCAGTAATTCGACACAGTGCCCAAAAAAACAGAAGCCCAAAGTATAAGTAATTAAATATCATGTCTATATTCCGATCTGCCATCCCCCGTAGTGTTATATAAGAATATTCGAGAAAGTATAGGGGAGATTACTCCTGGTTTATTTAAAGGGTGAAAACATTTTTTTCCCGCATTTTCTGATTAAAAATGTAAATAAGTATGATATAACTAGGTCATGCGCTATTAAAAATAATAGTTTTAATTTAAAATATTTATCGGCTAAGTTTGAGGTAAAAATTGTTGCACCTTGGACAGAGATGTCGCGACCCTTCCCGGCATCCGGGGACAAACTTTCGATTTGCACCCCCCCCCCCTCGAACTTTTGATTTGCACCCCTCCCTTCAAACTTTCAATTTGTTTTTCCAACCCATTTCGGCGCCCCCCTAAGGTCAGCGCACGGGAACATATGTCCTCCCCCCCCCCCCTCGCTACGCCTTTGACCTCGGGGTTTTCAGAAATACGAGCTTGTAAACATCCTATATCAAAGTTTATTAAAATAAAAGCAAGGGAGGCAACCACAAAAATGAATCAATAAATTAAAAAATAATAATTCAACCTCAATAGTTATTAAATCATGAATATTTATTTTATTTATTTGTTATCTATATTGAAACTGGTTTGTAAGCTGTATATACAAAAAAAGAATACATCTCTGTATTTTATATCGAAATGAAATTTAAAAAAATAAAAACTATACCTTTATTATGATCGGTCACTACTGATTAACAACTATAAACTAACGACAACAACATATTTAGGAAAATAAAAATTTTGGCTACCCTTAAAGCAGGGTAAAATTTACTGAAAGACATTAGCTAAAAATTTCTCTACCTCTTCGTGTTATCTTGTACCAAAAAGCTACAATCCTACCAAATAAATATATATTCTACATAGTTTACTTACACAGACACACCACCCTCATCCCGTTCCCGCTCAAATCAGTGTTAATCGCTCACACAGCAACCTTTCTGGTAACCCCCCCCCCCTCGTCAACCGGATAAAACACATTCTCTCATCCAACCAAAACATTTTTTCCTCAACTTGCTGCACGTTTCACGGTTTTTTTTATATTTAAAAGGGTACATTTTTTTATTAGTACATTGAACACAGATCATAATCTACAACTGTGCACAATTTATTCTAAAATACATCACTAGTAGGGCTGTACCCTCTTTTAACGACTCAGACGTAAGATGTATAGAGCCGCAACCAGGTCTACGGGTCAAGTAGCTCAATGCAATATATTGTTCCAACCCATCCAGCCCCTTCAAGGACAGTCTCTTAAGACAGGTCTAAGAAGAGCTGTTGTGCGCTCTTCAAGAACAACACTATACCAGTCATGATACCAGTCATTATACCAGTCATTATACCAGCCATTATACCAGTCATTATACCAGTCATTATATCAGTCAATATACCAGTCATTATACTTGTCATTATACCAGTTATTATACCAGTCATTATACCAGTCGTTATACCAGTCATTATACCAGTCATTATACCAGTCATTATACCAGTCATTATACCAGTCATTATAGCTGTCATTATATCAGACAATATACCAGTCATTATACTAGTCATTATACCAGTTATTATACCAGTCATTATACCAGTCATTATACCAGTCATTATACCAGTCATTATACCAGTCATTATACCAGTCATTATACCAGTCATTATACCAGTTATTATAGCTGTCATTATACCAGTCATTATACCAGTCATTATACCAGTCATTATACCAGTTATTATACCAGTCATTATACCAGTCATTAAACTAGTCATTATACCAGTCATTATACCAGTCATTATACCAATCATTTTATAAGTCATTATACCAGGCAGTAGCGTAGCGAGGGGGGGGGGGGACATATGTCCCCGGGCGCCGAGCTTAGGGGGCGCCAAAATGGGTTGGAAAAATAAGCTGAAAGGTTGAGGGGGGCGCAAATTGAAAGTTTGAGGGGGGGGGGTGCAAATGAAAATCTCGAGGGGGGGGTGTAAATCGGAAGTTTGAGGGGGGGGGGGGTGCAAATCGAAATCTCGAGGGGGGGGGGGTGCAAATCGAAAAGTTTGTCCCCGGGCGCCGGGAAGGGTCGCTACGCCTCTGATACAAGGCATTATACCAGTCATTATACCAGTCATTACACCAGTCATTATACCAGTCATTATACCAGTCATTAAACCAGTCATTATACCAGTTATTGATGACAGCAAAGGGCTCCCTACCTAGGGACCGTATCTCCAGGCGACTTATCAGCGACAAGCCCAAACTATATCTCAACTATGGTAGTAGAAGAGACACGGTGATGTTTAGCTCATGGGTATTTGTTGTCACCTCACTAGGCAAAACCATCACACTGACCTCGCGCACTGAAATTCACAAACTACAAGACACGAGTAGATGGAACCTTGAGTTGGGTACTCGCCCTTATTCGCCACCCCCTAAACCCACCCCTAAATTAACGAGACTCTCATACAATCTCTGAAATGATTTATCTATAAAGAAATACCCATCATCATCATCCCTCACACCGCAGAATTACCGTTTACACAGACAAGCTAACAACCGTCCTACACTACATCACATTACATTGAGCTACAAGTATCAGAATTTTTTCAACACACGGACACGCATTAATATTTGACGAATTTGACGCTCTTAGTTTTTTTCGGTAACCGAACAACATGTTTTAAAGTAAAAAAAAAGTTTTTTTTCCTCATTTTCTCCATGAAAATGTAAATAATCATGCCTGGTAGTGTGGTTTTGAATAGAATAATTTTTTATTCAAAATATTTACTGGCAATATTTTGAATACAAATAAAAAAAATGGTGGGTTTTTTAGTAATATAATCAAGGAGCTAATCCTACATTATTCCCAACAACACTGTCGTTGAGCCGCTCATCGATTATGAAGATATAGAATAAGGCTTTGGGGTTATCACTTCAAGAGGTCAACCAAACTTGCGAGGCCATATAATAAGATATGTAATCAGCAATCATCGTATTCTTCTACTCAACTATGGAACTGATTCATGTTACTTCTCCTCACAAGCCTTTGACGTCATCACAATGCATGAAACAAACGAAAAACACGGTTCATGTACACTGCATTTCTCACTTCATATCAACGGGACCCTCAGATGGGTACCCACTACACTTGACAATGCTACACTCATACAAGCACTACGCCTATTCAGTAACAAAGTGTCATCCATAAGCACAATCCCACACACTAATAATCGCATCTGCTCTGTCTACACTGATAAACCCTCAACTATCCCACACTACATCAAAATAAACTACAAAAACAAATAACTAACTATCCTAATCGCAAAAGCCGGGAGAAGACAAGCGTGTCAAATCTGTTCCTCCACCCTACACTGGACGAACCATTGCCAGCAAACTCTTTCAGACATACCACTGCAGGAAGACCCAACAGCACAACTAACAACGCCAGCAAAAACAGCGCTTTTTAATCAACGTCAGCAAGACTCTGCTCAAGAGAACACTAGCACTCAGCTACAAGATGTAACACCAATTACGCTGACACCGATTGTCAGTAATTCGACATAGTGCCCAAAAACAGAAGCCCAAGGTATAAGTCATTAAAAATCATGTCTATATTCCGAGCTGCCATCCCCCGTAGTGTTAGATAAGAATATTCGAGAAAGTATAGGGGAGATTACTCCCGGTTTATTTAAAAGCTGTAAACATTTTTTTCCGCATTTTCTCATTAAAAATGTAAATAAGTATGGTATAACTAGGTCATGCGCTATTCAAAATAATAATTTTAATTTAAAATATTTATCGGCTAAGTTTGAGGTAAAAATTTTGCACCTCGGGGTTTTCAGAAATACGAGCTTGTAAACATCCTATATAAGTTTATTTTAAAAAGATCAAGGGAGGCAACCACAAAATGAATTAATAAAATTAACAAAAATAATTCAAACTTAATAGTTATTAAATCATGAATATTTATTTTATTTGTTTGTTAGTTATATTTAAACAGGTTTGTACGCTGTATATATAAAAAAAAAGATTACATCTCTGTATTTTATAACGTAATGAAACTAAAAAATTAAAAACTATACCTTTATTTAATAATATGATCGATCACTACTGATTATCAAAAATTATGGTACACCAACTCAAATTTATGAATTTTAAAAATTTTGGCTGCCCTTAAACAGGGTAAAATTTACTGAAAAACATTAGCTAAAAATTTCTCTACCTCTTCATGTTATCTTGTACTAAAAAGCTACGATCCTACAAAATAAATATATATTCTACACAGTTTACTTACACTAACACACCACCATCACCCCGTACCCGCTCAAATCAGTGTTAATCGCTCACACAGCAACCTTTCTGGTACCTCCCCCCCCCCTCTTCGTCACCCGGATAAAACACATTCTCTCAACCAACCAAACCATTTTTCCTCAACTCTCTGCACGTTTCACTGCCTCTTAGTAACTCCCCAACCACCCCCCTCCCCTTCAACGACTTCTTTACTACTCCCCACCCAGATTCCAACACTTTCATTTTACCTTTACTCCTGTTACTGTTTATCCCGTTGAATTGTGTGCATAACATCAAACGCAGTATAACTACAAACATGCCATGATGTAAATATTCATTATGTAAAGTTTTAAAATCCTTCGGCTTAATTTGATGTTTAAATTATGTAAAATATGTTTGAGTTTATGTACTTGTTTTAAATTGAAAATAAAAGTTTTTTTTTTAATATTTAAAAAGGGTACATTTTTTATCAGAACATTGAACATAGTTAATAATCTACAGCTTTGCACAAGTTATTCTAAAATACATCACTAGTAGGGCTGTACTCTCTTTTAACGACTCCGACCTAAGATGTATAGAGCCGCAACCAGGTCTACGGGTCAAGTAGCACAATACAATATATTGTTCCAACCTATCCAGCTCCTTCAAGGACAGTCTCTTAAGACAGTTTAAGGAGAGCTGTCATGCGCTCTTCAAGAACAACACTATACCAGTCATTATACCAGTCATTATACCAGTCATTATACCAGTCATTATACCAGTCATTATACCAGTCATTATACCAGCCATTATACCAGTCATTATACCAGTCATTATACCAGTCATTATACCAGTCATTATATCAGTCATTATATCAGTCATGATACCAGTCATGATACCAGTCATTATACCAGTCATTATACCAGTCATTATACCAGTCATTATATCAGTCATTATACCAGTCATGATACCAGTCATTATACCAGTCATTATAACAGTCATTATACCAGTCATTATACCCGTCATTTTACCAGTCATTATACCAGTCGTTATACCAGTCATTATACCAGTCATTATCGACAGCAAAGGTCTCCCTGGCCTTAGGGGCCTTATCTCCAGGCTACTCATCAGCGACAAGCCCAAACTATTTCTCAACTACGGTAGTAAAGAAGACACGGTGATTTTTAGCTCATGTGTATTTGTCGTCACCACACTAGGCAAAACCTCCACACTGACCTCGCGCACTGAAATATACAAACTACGACAAGACACGAGTAGATGGAACCTTGATATGGGTACTCACCCTCATTCGCCACCCCCTAAACCCACCCCTAAATTAACGAGACTCTCACACAATCTCTGAAATGATTCATCTATAAAGATACACCCATCACCATCATCCCTAACACCGCAGAATTACCGTTTACACAGACAAGCCAACAACCGTCCTACACTACATCACATTGAACTACAAGTATCAGAATGTTGTCAACACACGGACACGCATTAATGTTTGACGAATTTGACGCTCTTAGTTTTTTTCGGTAACCGAACAACATGTTTTAAAGGAAAAAAAAAGTTTTTTTTCCTCATTTTCTCCATGAAAATGTAAATAATCATGCCTGGTAGTGTGGTTTTGAATAGAATAATTTTTTATTCAAAATATTTACTGGCGATATTTTGAATACAAATAAATAAATGGTGGGTTTTTCAGTAATATAATCAAGGAGCTAATCCTACATTATTCCCAACAACACTGTCGTTGAGCCACTCATCGATTATGAAGATATAGAATAAGGCTTTGGGGTTATCACTTCAAGAGGTCAACCATACTTGCGAGGCCATATAATAAGATATGTAATCAGCAATCATCGTATTCTTCTACTCAACTATGGAACTGATACATGGTACTTCTCCTCACAAGCATTTGACGTCACCACAATGCATAAAACAAACAAAACACACGGACCATATACACAACATTTCTCACTTCATACCAACGGGACCCTCAGATGGGTACCCCCTACACTTGACAATGCTACACTCATACCAGCACTACGCCTATTCTGTAACAAAGTGCCATCCATAAACACAATCATACACACTAATAATCGCAGCTGCTCTGTCTACACTGATAAACCCTCAACTATCCCACACTACATCAAAATAAACAACAAAAACAAATCACTCACTATCCTAATCGTCGCAAACGCCGCGAAAATCAAGCGTGTCAAATCTGTTCCTCTAACCTACACTGGACGAACCATTTCAAGCGAACGCTTTCAGACACACCACTGTAGGAAGACCCAACAGCACAACCAACAACGTCAGCAAAAGCAGAGCTTATTAATCAACGTCAGCAAGACACGACACAAGAGAACACTAGCACTCAGCTACAAGATGTAACACCAATTACACTGACACCGATTGTCAGTAATTCGACATAGTGCCCAAAAAACAGAAGCCCAAGGTATAAGTAATCAAAAATCATGTCTATATTCCGATCTGCCATGCCCCTTAGTGTTATATAAGAATATTCGAGAAAGTATAGGGGAGATTACTCCCGGTTTATTTAAAAGCTGAAAACATTTTTTTTTCCGCATTTTCTAATTAAAAATGTAAATAAGTATGGTATAACTAGGCCATGCGCTATTCAAAATAATAATTTTAATTTAAAATATTTATCGGGCTAAGTTTGAGGTAAAAATTTTGCTCCTCGTGGTTTTCAGAAATACGAGCTTGTAAACATCCTATATAAGTTTATTTTAAAAAGATCATGGGAGGCAACCACAAAATGAATGAATAAAATAAACAAAAATAATTCAAACTGAATAAGTATTAAAACATGATTATTTTATTTATTTATTTGTTAATTATATTTGAATAGGTTTCTATGCTGTATATAAAAAAAAAGAATACATCTCTGTATTTTATAACGTAATGAAAAAAAAAATTAAAAACAATACCTTTATTTAATAATATGATCGATCACTACTGATTATCAACAATTATCCTATACCAGTACATATTTTGAAAATTTTAAAATTTTGGCTGCCCTTAAAACAGGGTAAAATTTACTGAAAAACATGAGCTAAAAATTTCTCTATCTCATCATGTTATCTTGTACTAAAAAGCTACGATCCTACAAAATAAATATATATTCTACACAGTTTACCGTGATTTACACAGAATTACCGTTTACACAGACAAGCCATAACTATCCTAAGCTACATCACATTGAACTATAAGTATTAGAATGTTCTCAACACACGGACACTCCTTTACGGGTTATCCGGTGCGTTGCGCAACACTACCCATACCTCGTTCCCGCTCAAATCAGTGTTAATCGCTCACACAGCAACCTTTCTGGTAATCCCCGCCCCCCCCCCCCCCCCACCCGTCGTCACCCGGATAAAACTATCATTCTCTCAAACAACCAAAACATTATGTTTCCCCCACTCGCTACTCGTTTCACTGCCCCATAGTATCTCCCCAACCACCCCCCTCCCTTCAACAACTTCTTTTCTACTCCCCACCCTGATCTCAACCCTTTCATTTTACCTTTACTCCTGTTACTGTTTATCCCGTTGAATTGTGTACATAACATCAAACCCAGTATAACCACACATATGCCATGATCTAATGAGAGCTGTCATGCGCTCTTCAAGAACAACACTATACCAGTCATTATAGCAGTCATTATAGCAGTCATTATCCCAGTCATTGTACCAGTCATTATACCAGACATTATACCAGACATTATACCAGTCATTATATCAGTCATTATACCAGTCATTTCACCAGTCATTATACCAGTCATTATACCAGTCATTATACCAGTCATTATACCAGTCATTATGCCAGTCATTATACCAGTCATTATATTAGTCATTATAACAATCATTATACTAGTCATTATACCCGTCACTATACCAGTCATTATACCAGTCATTATACCAGTCATTATATTAGTCATTATACCAATCATTATACTAGTCATTATACTAGTCATTATACCAGTCATTATACCACTCATTATTACATTCATTATACCAGTCACTATACCAGTCATTATAACAGTCATTATACAAGTCATTATACAAGTCATTATACCAGTCATTATACCAGTCATTAAACCAGTCATTATACCAGTTATTAATGACAGCAAAGGGCTCCCTCCCTAGGGCCCGTATCTCCAGGCGACATATCAGCGACAAGCCCAAACTATTTCTCAACTATGGTAGTAGAGGAGACACGGTGATGTTTAGCTCATGGGTATTTGTCGTCACCACACTAGGATAAACCTCCACACTGACCGCACGTACTGAAATACACAATCGACAAGACACGGGTAGATGGAACCTTACGTTGGGTACTCGTCCCCATTCCACACCTCCACCCCCACCCCCTACACTAATCAACGAGACTCTCATACAATCTTTCAAATGTTTCAGCTAGAAAAAAAAACACCCATCAACATCACCCCTCTTACCGCAGAATTACCGTTTACACAGACAAGCCAACAACTATCCTACGCTACATCACATTGAACAAGTATCAGAATATTGTCAACACACGGACACGTCTTTACGGGTTATCCGGTGCGTTGCGCAACATATAAAACAAAAACCATCAAACGGGCTTACAAAAAGACAAGACTAAATACAACAAAGGTTAGTTACAACACTAAAAAAAGGTTTAATGACTATCTACACTATTTACACACAAATAAACCAAGTCTATTCTAAATAAATAACACACAAGTAAAACACAAATCCTAGATTACAATGGCTGCTATTCACAGATATAAACTACACTAACCTGGTAGCTTGCATGTAATGAAATGAGGCAATGAAGCACACTGTCACACTCCTTACTAAACTGGGAGTGATCTCCCCTAAACTTTCTCGAAAATTCTTAAATAAGACAACAGGGGATGGGAACTCGGGATATAGACATCATTTTTAATCCATTTTAAATACTTAAACTTTTTAAAATAGAATAAAATCTCGTGGAAAAAGAATTGCACACCAAGTGAACGCCAAATAAAATGTGCATAATAGTGCGCAATATTATTAGTAGACCTACTTTATAAATTTACAGTATTTTTTTGAGAAATCGGAAATAGAGTAAATTACTACTTCCGGTCAACGGAAATGACTCACAATTTGACAGAAGGTAGAGAATTAGATCTCTTACTTACATGTGAAATTTCATTTATATATCTGAAATAGTACTCAAGTTATAGGCTTTTGAAAAAATCAAAGTAGAAAAAGTACCACTTTCGGTTATCGGAAATTGCTCAAAAGTCGATACGGATCTACGATTTTGATTAAATACTTATATATGAAATTTCATTAAGCTAGCTGTAACGGTACTCAAGTTATAGTGTTTTGCAGACACACAGGCACACACACAGGCACACACACACACACATACACACAGACATACGGACAAGATTACAAACATATATTTTTCCGACTCAGGGAGGTGTAAAACGTCGAGATTTGTAAAAATCTCGAATTTTTTTTTGCACGATTACAAGACTTTATACTTCGTATATACTTACTTACTTAATCCTCATCACTCCCTGTGGAGTATAGGGCAACAACAAATCTCTGCCATTCCACCCTGTCCTGGGCGAGCCACTTTAGTTCATGCCAGGTTTTTCCAGTAGCCTGTACTTCTTCTTCCATCTCCCTCCTCCATGTTCGCAGTGGTCTTCCTCTACTTCTCTTTCCGGGTGGGTTCCACTTCAGCGCCATGTTGGGGAGTCTTTTTTTGCTCATGCGTAGGACATGGCCCAGCCATCTCCATCTCCTCGTTCTAACTTCTGAGACAATGTCGTTTAATCCTGTCCTTCGCCATATTTCCTTGTTCGGGACTTTGTCGTCCCACTTTATCCTGAGGATGCGTTGGAGGGATCTTCTTTCAAAGCCTCTGAGTCGGCTGTCTACTTTCTTGTTTAGTTTCCATGACTCTGCAGCATAGAGGAGTACAGAACGTACATTAGACTTATAGATCCTTATTTTAGTTCTCTGCTGCAATGAGGATGATTTCCAGATCTTAGCGAGTCTGTTGAAAGCTTGTGCTGCCATTGCTATTCTGGTTGCAATTTCTTTCTCCATGCTGCCATTTGCTGATATATAGCTGCCGAGGTACTTAAAGTCTTCGACCTCTTCTAGCTCTGCTCCATTCGCAAAGGTCTTGAGAACACTTTTGGTTTTTATTTTCATTAGCTTGGTTTTTCCGGAGTTTATCTTTAGCCCATCTTCGTATATACGAGAAAGTAAAGGTTTAAAATGGTGTATCAAGGGAAGCAACTAATACATTAACAAATTAAATTAAAGAAAATAAAAACAATGCATAAACTGAATAAAAATATGACACATATATAAATAAATGCTTTTGTTAATATAGCCTAGAATAATATTTGAATAAATAATTTCCAACTTAACCACCGTATGTTTGATTTTATTCGTCTATTTAAGTCATACAGGGCATAGTTTAGATAAGAACGCTTACTGTTTATTATTTGACGATTTTAATGTATGGGATAAACATAATTGAAATACAAGTTTAATTTTGGCTACCCATTACAGGGTAATTATTTAAATTGTCCATTTTAAGATTCTCTTTTGAATTTAAATTTGATATAGTCAATAATTTATTTATTATTTTTAAAGATTAAGTAGTGTTTGAAAGGTAACTAAAAAAAAATTCATTAAAAAAACGTTTTAATAACACGCTTTTATGTTATAATGCACTAAAAAGGAGAAATATAAATTATCCACTACTATTTAAATAAATAAAGAAAAGCGTGGGTCACTTTAGTACCTGTTGGATACCTTTACTAATATTTGAGAAGAGACCCACGCTTTTCTTTATAGTCATTTAAATAGTAGTGTATAATTTATTTTCTCCTTTTTAGTGCATTATAACATAAAAGCTTGTTATTAAAACTTTTTTTAATGAATTTTTTTTCAGTACTTTACATGTTTTATTTACAATAGAGTTACATGACTAAAAACCATTTCGCGCCTATTGAACGTGATGACGCGTGTGGAGTAGTTGGATGGAACTGTCTACTAATTTGGTCAGAATTTTAATTAATTCATAAAAAATTTAGCAGGTGACCAATTAAATTGAATGTCATAATGCCTTCATGTCTTGACCCACGTTCCAACTACGAACCGTATCTGTCAGTTAGAAGTGCAAGTATTTTCGCTCGGGCATTTCGATCTAGACGGACGACAGAGGAAGTGATTTAAGTAAAAGCTTGAACAAATTTTTCATAAAAAACGTTTTAATAACAAGCTTTTATGTAATAATGCACTAAACAGGAGAAAATAAATTATCCAATACTTTTTAAATAACTATAAAATTCTTTACATTTTTTTATTTACAATAGAGTTACATAACTAAAAAATATTGCGCGCCTATTTAACGTGATGACGCGCTATTTAATGTGATGACGCGTGTGGAGTAGTTGGATAGAACTGGCTACTAATTTGGTCAAATTTTTTTATTTATTCATAAAAAAATTAATCTGGCGACACATTAATTCAAATTGAATGTCATAATGCATTGTCTTCATGTCTTGACCCACGTACCAGTTACGACCGTATCTGTCAGTTAGAAGGGCCTGCAATTTTGCTCGACCGTTTCGATCTAGACTGACAACAGACTGACGAGGAAGTGAGTTTAATAAAAGCTTGTAAACATGGGGCTGCATCAATAGAGAAGGGAAGACTGTATGTGTCTAATTGTTTTGTTATAATATAAATGGTGGGGGTTTTATAAAACAATGTTGTGTATCACTAGATTTACAGATTTTTTTAAAATTCATAGTTTAATAAATTTTACTTTTTTGAAGTGTTGGATGAATATGTGACACGACTGACCTTCGCATTATTCCTTTCAAACATGTCACTACTATATAAGGGATTGGCGTCGTCGAGTCGGTAAAGCTCTTGGTGAGTGAACCAAAAAATCAAACAACTGCTGCCTTGTAGTTTGTTCTTGGTTGTACAAAGCCTATGGAAGCAAATCCAAAAAAAAAGAAGGCTGAAATTGGAGTCAACGGTCGATATAGCGCATAACCAGTTGACACATAATTCTTAATTGTGTTGGAGGAGATACCTCGAACACTAGAATTAAGATCACTATATAAGATCTGCATGGGTTTTTCATTAAAATGTAGGAAGATATTGACTTTTCATAAAATAAAATGATGCGATCCCCATTCCCCATTAATAAACATCATTAGACAGATAAGTAGTAAAAATGTGTTGTGGGTTTTTGTAATAGTGTGTGGGAATATTTTATTTAATTGAACAAGTGTCCAATCTGCATTTGATGCTTTGTTTTTACCTTGGTCGTCCAAAGCTGACGCACATACCTCACTGCCTTATGTGACAAAACGACGTTTCATATATTTATTTTACGTTGAGTTGTAGTAGGGGTAAATATAGTGACGTAAATTGAGGTGAAGGAGGAGTAGGGAGGGGGGGGGATGGCCTAGCGTTATGTGATAGAATAGAGATAGAGTGGCTGTAAAAGTAGGCCTAAAATTGTGTGTTGTTGATACTTGATTTGGCAAAACGTGTAACAGACATTTTCTAGCATTTAGATTTAACAGAGACGCTTTATCTAAGCATATGGAAATATGTCTTAAATATATTACGTAGTTTAAATTATATGAAAAAATAAATCTTTTACTCGCACCCTTCAAATACACGGTATTACATTTTTCGCTACATTTTAACAGTGAAACACAGCTACCAGATCAACATACGTTTGTGTTAAATTCATGTATGCCCCTTTTCTTCCACTTTCATAAAATAAAAATAAGAAACATATTTTAAGTGTACAAAAAAAAATAATAATTTTTTAAAAAGTTAAAAAACGGCCAAAGGGCAATAACAATGTATAAATTACTTCTTAAAAAGAGACTGAAACAAAACGAGTTGTCTAGCTTTTATTTTGTCCTTTCAGGTTTTAAATTGAAAATTTCGGTTATACAACTCTTATAGTTTGCTACGTCAATTAAAGTTTTCCTTTTAAATGAATTAGAGAGAACGGTTTTTAAATATATTTTTTTTTAAATTTCGCAATATGCTACTAAACATAAAAATATTGCAGACTTTTCCACTCTTTGATCTGTTTTTTAAATTTTTTTTAT